GACTGAAAATCATAAAATAAACACTGGTGAATCACTGTGTCATTTTAGACCTTTTTTTGACTTGGGATAAATGCATATATATACCTTTTTTCCTAAGGAAATCAAATATGTGCATGATTAGAGAGAAATCTGGAGATTGAGAAAAGATAGTATCTAAAAAAATTGGGTGTCTTAGTGACTCATTTTGCTGTTTTTATGGAGGAGAGCTGCCCTCTGCAGTACATTGCAGGAATGTGTAGATATCATTTGGAACCTCTTCCCTTTGAGACAGCCTCAGTAGCAGTAGATTTACAGGGGTTTTTTAAAAACAGAAATTACTTTTTTTTTTTTAAGGAAAGATAAAAACTAGAGACTTTGCAGAAACAAAACTTCTGTGATTCAGTTCATCAATGTGAAATGTACAGAAGAACTATGTAACCCTAAGAATATTAATGCTACTAAAGAGATGTTTAATGACTCTGGGATTCATTTGATATACATTCATTATCTTTTCTCCAGAGCTCTGAAGAACTGCAACTTTCAGTGGACCACATCAAGCAGATTATTGGGATTTTAAGGGACTTCATACACTCTCCTGAGCAGAGAGTGATGGCTTCTACAATATCCAAGTTGAAAATGGATTTGGACTTTGACAGCACTTCCATCAATCAGATTCATCTGGTGCTGTTTGGATTCCAGGATGCGGTGAGTTCCTTTCCTGGTGTAGGGGCAGAGGAATGGTTTAGGTTGGAAGAGATCTTAAAGATCCACTCCCCCTTGCATGGGCAGAGGCACCTTCCACTACATAATGTTGCTCCTGAAGAAAGCTCATGCCAGGGGTTTGCAGCTTCCCCACCATTCCTCTCCCTCCTTGCACTGTAGAAGAGTTTGAATGTTGCAGTCTGGTTTGAAATGGTTTGAAAGCTGTAGCCTAAAACTGTCAAATCTGTTGTTTAGATTTTGAAAGGTGGGAAGTTTTCAGTGCTGCATGCAGTTTTTACCTTATAAAGCTTATTATGTCTCTTGGAAAATAAGATTCTCTTTCCTAAGGTGTGAGCAAATGGTGTTTGCTGCTGCTTTTTCAGGTGAACAAAGTGTTAAGAAATCACTTGATAAGGCCCCATTGGATGTTTGCAATGGATAACATCATCCGCCGTGCAGTCCAAGCAGCAGTCACTATTCTTATTCCAGGTAAATCAAAGCAGCTGAAAATAATCCTTTTTTTTAAAAAGAAAAGGTGTTCTGCATATCAAAGAGCTGTAGCAAATGGAACAATTCAGATGTTTACTCTTTCAGCATGCCATTAACTGCACCCCATGTGCCACTCATCAAAAGACATGGGTTCAGAGTGATGCAGAGAAAGAAGTGTTGATCCGGAGGATTAATGCTGTACTTGCAGTACAAAAGCACATAATGGGGAAATAACCAGTGGTTCTGCACCCCCAGTGTGGTCCACACATGACCAAATAAAAGGCAAATTAAATTTGGTCCAAGCTGGAGATTTTCTAGTAAGAAAGAAAATTATTCTGTATACATTAATGGCATCCAGCATGGTTAACACTGCACAGGTCTGGTTATGTGTTCTGAAAAATTATTAATGAGCTATGGAGCAGATGTGTAGAAGGGAGTGCATCAGTATGAGGAAGAGGATGATTCTGGCCCATAGATGGACAATAGGGAAAACCACCAGGAAGATAAATGTCTAAGTACTGTCTAGGAATTAGTTAAGTTGGAAATATTTAGGTAGTTTTGTAACTGTTTAAAATGCTGAGCACCCCTTCCAGTATAGGAATGTTCTGAGAGACTTAGTAACAGTGAGCCCTTTCAGTCCAAAGTTGCCATGGCTTTTAAAGCCAAATTGGCCACATTTTTTAGTACTTTGTACAAGAAAACTCACAGCCGTTCTTTGGTAATAAGGGTGGCCACCTGCAGCAAGTTCTGAGAAGTGGGGGTAGAAATTCTCCCTGGAGAAGAGGAATGCTTCCTCTTTGGCCCAGGGCGTTAGGGAAAATCACTATTTATTTTTCTCTTATTATTTAGGAAAAATGCCAGCTTTCAGGTTTCTCCTTAACATATTTTACTGACTGTCTTACTATTCATCTCATGAAATTTGTCCCCACTACAACTATGACCTACAGTTCTACCTTTGCTGGTGCGTTGCTCATTCTAGAACTAATGCCAGAGAACCTGTGCTCCAGCTCACACCAGGCTTCACCATCCCCTGCTCAAGTGTTGCAATAAAGCACATTATGCAAAGTCTTCCCCACCCACAGAAGTGAAGAACAAACTGCACAACCTCTGAAGACACAATTACCAAAAGAATCTTGTTCTCCCCCTCATTCCTTTTACCAGAGCTTCGCACTCACTTTGAGCCAGCATCAGAAACTGAAGGTGGGGACAAGGACACTGATGAAGTGGAGCAGAATTTCCAACCCTCTGAACAGAACGGGGCTGAGGACGCTGCCATCACATCAGGGGTCAGCAGCCTCAGTTCTGAGGTGTCACACAAGGCTCAGCAGCAGCTCAGCCAGGAGCTGGGCAGACTTAAACACGACACCTTAAGGTAAATCTCCTGTAAAGACTCTGGGTGTATGTTCAGGCAGTCTCTGAAGAGCTACACTGATGGGTACATAATTACCCATAGTACTGCTCACCTATTGCCTTGCAATAAAGCCTTCCAGGAACACAGGTGGATTTGGAATACCTGGCAGTACAGTATGGCAGCTGAACTTAATTCAGTACAACTTTTGTTTCTGTGTAGTTAATCTGTTAATTGCAGAATGTCACAGTGGATTTATACAGGGAAGTAATTAGGTTTGTGTAACTGTGCTGGTTTCCTTCCTACTCCTTGGATGCCCCCTGACTTGGTGTCAGTGCCTCAAGGAAAGGCCACAGCAGCTCTGTCCTGGCTCATGGGACAGGCTGGCCACTAATTAGCACCAGCAGAGCTCAGCAGAGCCCTGCTCTGTTTCTCATGGGTTGCATGTGTAGGGTGCTGCCAGCCTGTTAACAGCTGAAGTTCCCGTTCTTCTTTATGCACTTGATGTAAATCTGTGATCAGAAAGTCCCTGGTAAAACATCAGTGTTACATTGTTCAGTAGTAAATTAAAGGCAGCAACTCTGCCCAGGGAGGCTGCAAAACAGTAGGAACAGAATTTATGAGCTATTTACTAAATTCTGCAGGTGAAAGCCTTCAAGTGGCACCCCTGAGTCTCAGACATCCAAAATGAAATCTCTAAGCCATTAAGAGATGTTACTTACGACATTACCCTTCACAAATGCCTCTGTCCTGTGGTACTCATTAAAAATTATATTTTTTTCAGTTAGATTTATACTCAGTGTGGTTGTGTTTGATCTTTCTTATATTTTACAAGGCTTATGGAAAATCTCATTCAGAAGGAGAAAGAGTATCAGACCCTCTTACGACAATCTTTGGAGCAGAAGACTCAGGAATTACAATTGCTTCAATTAAAACTTAAACCCAAAGGTATGAGGAGACACTGCAGTTACACAAAAACATATGAGATCATGTTTTTGTTTAAAGGATGCAAAATCATACAGCTTCAGCTTACCTGAAAACAACCACTTCTGCCCTAGTTTTGAGGTATATTAACCTTTGTTTTCTGTTAAAAGATCCCCAGCGGTCTGCAGCAACTTTTAGAGAGAATGCAGACCGTGAGCTCATGAACTGGCTGAAACAACAAGGAGCAGACTTGGAAACCATTAAGAGGGTAAAAATAAATCACATTTAAAAAAAAAAACCTATAATTTTAGTTATAATTAGCAGTTTGGTTTCAAAGAAGGAATATTTATTTATGGATAAATTTGCCTTTTAGTTTGCTGAAGAAGATTACACACTAAGTGCTGTCCTTAATGATATCACCAAAGATGACTTGTGGTATCTTCAGCTGCGGTAAGAAAATACTTTTTAGTTCATTGTTAAGAGCTTAATTAACATATTTTGTTAAAAACATTTTAAAGGTTTGTTATTTAAATAGGCCAGTGACAGTTCAGGGGTAACTGCCATCAGTTTCCTCTCAGATTTTCTGATAAAAGTATTCACAACTGACACAACTACACGAAGGATGCTTTGAGCCATCTATCTGCTTTGGCATTTATCCAGGTTGGGACCTTTTTTTGCACTCTTCACAATGAGATTGTATGAAAATATTCATATGTAATCATATGAAAAACAGGCATAAAGAATTTATGTTTTCTACCCATTGATTCAGGTCCTTTTCTCATCATTCTGTTAACCGCTGGCAGACCTGGAAGTTTTTGCTATTACCATAACAGTGTACTGTCATAACCATTCTAGCCTTGGGATTTCTTGGTTTTTTACTTCTTGCTCATTTTAAGGCAGTGGAGATGAGGGAGCTCTCGTTAACTGCTCTCCATTTCCCTTCATGCAGGGGGGGTGTTCGCTGCAGAATCTGGAATGCAATCCTGAACCACCGACAAGCATCCAGCAGGACCTCAGTGCAGGTCAATGCTTTGGAAGAACACAAAAAGGGAATAAGCAAATGAAATACATTCCCAGCACTTAACCTGTTAGATGTATATATTTATATGTACAGTGGCCTTGCAGGTTTTGCACAGTTATGTAGCTTGTTTGACCATCAGTGTAATGCACAGTGAACAGTAACAGCTTTTAAGTCAGTGTCAATGCATGTGAGTTATTTATGACAAGACTAAAGCACACGATGCCTGTCGATGTAATACAAAACATTAGCAGAGAAAAAACCCACCTGAATTGGCTTCAGCTCTGTGAAAACTGTGAACTTAAAATGTGTTACTTCTGCTGGCTGATGGTTTGAGCAGGGAGGGGATATGCTAGAGCATGTCACCTCATTGTAGATGGATTTATACAGCTTTTTGTATTAAAGCTACTCTCAACTGAACTACTGAGAAAAGCCTGTGTTTTCAATTACTGACTTTTCTGCAGCAAAACCAGAGCATATAAATTGTATTTTTGGTGGGGTTTCTGGGAAAGAGTTCATGAAACAACACAGACCATTAGATAAAGGTTGGTAAAGTTTAATTTTTATTTTTCTTTTTACACTGTACTTAACACATACAGCGATCCAAAGAAAGTCAGTAAAGCAAATATATAGCACTTTAAATAAACCACTTTCGACTTAGCTTCTTCTGAAACATTCAGCACGGTTAAGAAATTCCATACTCAGATGGATTTCCTTACACATTTCCTCTTTTGAAAGAGCTCTTAAATAAGCTTAAGAGTTGTTTATATAGTTCCTGTAAATGCATTCACTTATTCATAAGAATAAGTTACACCCATAAAAAAAGCCTTTAGCTGACAGACTTGTACTTTATCCACTGGTTTGGGCCACGCACTTCAAAGGGTGGCTCATTGAAGTAGATGTGGTGACCCAGTTCTTCCAGGGGAGGCTCTGGGTCAGTGGTAGCAAACTGAGCAGCTTCCTCAATCTCCTTCCTTACTGCCACATCAATTTCCTAAACCAGAAATGCATGCTTATTAGAAGACAGTTCAGAAAAAGCATCATGATTTTGAATGTAAATGCTATGCTAAAATATCAGTCAGAATTAGTTAACAATGACTAGAAATATAAAATCAAAAACCTTTTAAAACTCCTTCCCTACTAAACTGCATCATTTTGGGTAGTACTGGTACCTTACTGACCAAGGAACATGACCCCACTGAGCCTGGAGGGCTCCTCAGGGTTAGAGAGCTCCTCACTCCTTCACTAGGATTCTTCACATTTGGTCATTTCCCTTTCCAAGACTCATCCCCTTCTGGAGAGTCAAGAAAGCCCAGGTAATTCTGATTTCTATCTGTTAGCAAATTACACCCCCCAGCCTTACTTAGCACCCAAAAGCAAAAGGCCTTTTCAGCAGAAGACAACTTCAGGAGCTGGTCTGCAACAAAACTTCACCTTCACTTACAAAAGTGATGTTAAAGCAAACCTTAAAGAACTTTAAAGAAAAGCATGGCATGCTGCCCAGTGATGTGCTTTCTGGAGATCATCAGTGTGTGACTGCTCAAGAGCTTCCTTACACAGCAACTAAAACTATACCTTTAGTTCTTCAACACTAGCAAGGTTGTTGTTGACCATTCTGTCCTTCAGCAAAGTAATGGGATCACTTTTGCTTCTCACTTCTTGAATTTCTTCTCTAGTACGATAGCTAGGAACAAGACAGGCAAAGACATGAACCCTGGGGCACAGTGAGGTCTGGACACAGCTCACTTCTAGAAAAATAGTCCAAAGAGTTGGCAGGGATGCAGTGACAACACAGAACATTGATCACCCAAAGGATGGCACAGAGCCAGAGGCCTCCAGAGAGAGATTTGTAAATACCAACTGAGCAGAAGAGCTCCAGACTCAAGGGGGGCAAACCCAGCCTGAGACAGTTATCCTGAAGGGCCTTATTTCCTCCTAACCCTTCCCCCCTATGGAGGGGGCTGCATGACATCCACATGCTTTCAAGCCACTGCAAGTTTCCAGTGAAGAGCTGGGATACACCTCTACTTCATGCTGACACATGCAGCTTGATCACATGGATGTTTGTACTTTTAGGATGCATTCAACTTGTCTGGGGAGTCCAAACTGTTCCTGTAATTTGACCTTACAGGATATTCATCTTTTTAAAACCCCAGAAAAGCATGATGCTAATTAACCAAACCTTCATTAGGACACACTGTAAGCAGAATTCATTAATAGAGAGCACAGAACTTTAACTCACTTTGTGCTTGTTCTAAACCCACATCTTTTAATTCTGCATTAAAACAAGTGTGTGACATGGCTACAGATTAGCAGCTGAGCAGGGAGATGAGTGAGCAGGCTGCTCATAGCAATTTCATTGTAACCTTTAAATGCATCTGACATCTGCTTTAAACACTGACTTTCACAGTTTAATCTCTTAGAATCTGACCATCAGTATTTATTTTCAGTGAAAAGAAAGAAGGAAGAATGTGACAATACCTTATTCCAGGGTCACTCATACTGTGGCCATGGTAACGATATGTCTGTAACTCCATCACAAGAGGACCCTTGAAATGAACAGAAATACTGAGTGTTGCCACCATGAGTGACCAAATTGTTACAGCAGCAACTGTTTGCTTGAGCTGAACTGCACCAGTGATCAATTATTTTTATTCAATACGTTTTTCTCAGTTTAATTTACATAATATTAGCACTTATAGTTTCACACAGTAAAATGAAACCTAATTCTTTTTAAATGAAAGCATGTGCTGATATTGTAAGCATTTATTTTCATTTTCTCATGAGCAGCTTTACAATTTCTTTCCTTCCACCATTACTCAGAATATTTCCAATTACCTCACAGAACCTTCATTACTTCAAGTATTGAAAATCTTCAAAACCAGTGTTACTGTACTTGGGTGACAGACACTAACATTGACTTACAAAACCTTTATTTCACTTTCCATTTCTTGTAAATATAGAATGACTGTCACCTTCCTTGATGCTTCCCCTAACTAAACACAGAGATCACAACTGCCTGACAGTCATAACACCTTTCACAACAGAAAGTAACTGTGGTAGAAATGGGAAAAACTGACAGTATAAATAATAAGTGTTTGGTTAATACAAATTGAGGAACTACTTATGCAGCAATAGCTTGCAAGAATTCCACCCATGGAGAAGCAATGCCAATTACAGACTTACTTTTCCAGATCTGCAGTACTCAGCTGCAAACTTTACTGCTTCTCGGACACAGAGCACATCCATACCGTCCACCTGGTAATCAGAAAAGACACAGTAAGGCAAAAAAATCCCAGCCTCCAAACTTCCAATCTCATATTTCCACAAGTGGAACAGAATTCAGCTTCAAGTAAATATATGCAGAAATAAACTACATACCTATGTATGTTTTGTGTAGGTATGTGCACACACATTCCCCCTCAAAAAACAGCTGTACTCACCCTGAGACCTGGAATGAAGTATCCTCTTTTGTAATAGTCAGTGCTGGCTGCAGCTCTTTCAACTGATGTTCCCATTCCATACCGATTGTTCTCACAGACAAAAATACAAGGCAACTTCCATAAGGCAGCCATGTTGTAGGTTTCAAATATCTGGCCCTGAAAGAAAATTAAATTACATCTCATCAGGGAGCTCAGCCTTCAAGCATCAGGCTCTACTGAAAATCCTTCAGTTGCAGAGGTCTACAAACTGTAATGCTAAAAGTGATCTGAAACCAGCCATTTGCTACAGGTCAGAAGGAATAAAAGAGAAGCTACATTATATAAGGTAATTTTCATCTCAACCAGTAGTTTACAGAAGTTAATTTTTAAGCCTGAATCAGTATCTGTGTTAGGGTACCACAAAACCTTCCACTTTAACTTAACTCAGGTATTTCAGCAACAGTCATAAAAAATACTTGACAATTGATTTACCTGGCAGGATGCTGCTACAGCAAAGTTAAGTTTGACTGCAGTCAGCCTTGATTGCTCTGAGTCAAATTCAGGGAAAACCATGAACTGAGATCTCCACCTGTGCTTTGAAAGTGTGAAACCATCAGTGGTACACACAAATCACCAACTGCTTATCTGACTTATTGTCTCAGCTGATAACATGAAGAGTCTGGCTGGAATATCCTGGCTGGAATAGCAATAGTAACTGGTTCTGCCAGAATGCTCTGTCCTCTTCTCAGTCTTCAGAAACATGATTTACACATCTCTCCCTATCCAGCAGCACTGTCATCTTCACTGCCATCCTTCAGAGCTCTCCTTACAGCACAGACAGTTCAGGGTGCCACACTTAGGTGAGCTGTGCACAACTGGAAAGAGGGTAAAGAGTAACTGGAAACCCCTCCTCTCAAGATTCGTGTGCCATTCACATAATTAACCATTAGCCTCATTCACTCACTGTGCTCCAGAACAGAAGGAGCCAAAAACCTTTCCCTTCACTACAGCTACAAGGGCCAAACTCAAAACAGGGGTGGGGAAGGACAGATGTTTACACAGGTCCAAAATATGATAAAACACTGCAGGCACATGGAACATTCCTGATGTATAAAGAGCACCTAGCAATTAACTTCCAAACTGTTCACCTGAATCACCCCTTTGAGGACTACACAGTTGTTGGAACACATCCCTGCTCAAACACCTAAGACAACTCAAATAAGAGTGGCCATGTCCAAAATCGGCAACATGCCTGGCCACCTCCAGGGAGTTCATCAACACTGCCTGGGTTGCAGGTGCACAGGGAGGGCAAAATGTGCTCTTCCACCCCTTGGAGTAAAGGCAGAGCTCACAGAGCACAGAAGGAAAATGGATTCCCCCCAGCCATACTGCTTTACCTGATTGGCTGCACCATCCCCATACAAGGCCACGCAGATTTCATTTTTAGCAAAGTATTTACAGGCCAGAGCAATCCCAGCTCCAAGAGGAACCTGTCAGAGTACAGGACAAAACATTTTAGAACATTTAAAGGAGTTGAAGATAGGAAGCCTGAGATCTTGAAGGAGACATTTAGGCTATTAGAGACCTGCTCAATAAACAAGCTGTTACCCACCCGTTTCCCTTTGCTAAAATGTTATTGCAGTCAAATTATAAACACGAACAGTATTCTCAATTTGAATTATTTTTCTACAGTTTACAAAACAGTGAGAACACCAGAATAAGACATACCAGCCTCAGAGCAATGGTATCTGCATACAACCTCACACACCACAAAAATTGAGAGGAAACACTGAGAGGCAACAGGACACGAGTTAACTGAGCTTGTGCTTTAAAACAGAAGTAATGTATGTACCTGAGCACCAACAATACCATTGCCTCCATAGAAGTTTTTGGTATACATATGCATTGATCCTCCTTTTCCCTTTGCACATCCTCCTTTTCGACCTGAAATGTGAATAATAAGCAACTTCTGTTTTGAAGGAAAAATAATATACAAATAGAAACATCTAATTCAGTTCCTAAAGGTAAGTTCCTAACACTAAGGCCATGATCTGTGCGGAGTTAGGACATGAGGGCCTCTCTCATACAAGTTTACAGTTAAACATCTCAGAAAACAAATAAGGAAGGAAAAGAGAGAACAATAACAAAAGCGTAACTGTGGAAATATGGATGAGATTAAGAAATTTCAAAACCAAACAAAAGTTTCAGTGTCCTACTATACAAAAGCACTTTCAGATAAATATGAGGTGTTTTTTAATAGACAACAAGGTCCCATATCTTAATCTGCAAGAAGTATATAATTACTTTCAGCTTCTGCAAGAAAAGTAAGAATAATGTTCCAAATTACTTGCAATAATTTAGACTTGTCTTCCCTTTGACAATAACCTCATGTAAAAATTACCAAAAGGACACTAAAAAAACCCCCAACTACTACCAGCTCCCCATTCCACCCCAATATAAACATTAGTCACCCAGCCCAGCTTTATTCAAGGTGTAGTTTGAAGATAACAAGTGATCATGAAGCCTTACAACAAACCCTATTTAAATGAGCCCATCTAAGAACACAGAATTTCTCATCAGCCCATTCCCTTTCCTATTCTTATCTGTCTTGTTGCCATTCATAGAAGATTGTATTTTACTTCTAATAAGCACAGCTTGTCTGGTTGGTTTTCTTACATTAGCCTGCATGTTTATTTTAGAAATGAGTCTCTTTCTGAAATTTGTACTTCTCTTTCTTACTTTGCAGTGGATCATTTTTATTATTGATATTTCTCATACCTTTCCTATGTTTATGAATTGTTTAATTGGTTTTGTGGGAGCTGTTACAGATTTTGCCAGCTAAGACCAAAGAAAAAAAAGTCTGATTTTAAGAAAAATAGTTTTATGAATAAGTAGGCTGTATAATTTACTTTTATCAAGCTCCCTCCACTTTTTGTACACTCCCTTCTTGTATTTTAGAATGTATTTAATAATTCCTTATTAACCAATGTTACTTTTTGCTACATTTTCTACTTTTCTTAGAACACAAACTCTCATGTAATTGTCAATTCTCCTGAAAAGTCCTTTTCTATAGCTTGTTTCCTCTAGGATCTTATCTACTGGTTTTATTTTGGGTGACTGCTTCCTTCTCCTTCAAAGATTTTTTAATTCTGTCATTGTAACTCATGCTGTCTTTTAGTTTGGCATTTGTAGTCAAGATCCTTCTCTGCAAGAATGGCTCTAGCAGCAGCTCTAAGAACTTTCCCCAGTGTCGTTTTCTGGAATAACTGTCTCTTTACCACAGCCATTCCTTCCCAATTGAAAGAGCCCCAATAAAGTCAAGTATAATGTTAAAGAAAGTTGTCATGAAATGTAAAAAAATCCCACTACATTATGACTCATATTTGTATCTTCACAGCCATAGTTGGCTTCAGTCATTACAATCTTCCCATTTATTTTCTGACTTACCAGTATCCAGTGACACTTGGCTAATCAGTCACCACTGGATTCTGGGTTTTTGTGCACATTACAGATATGCATTCTTAGCATAAACAATTGTTAGTTTACAAAATCATACCACTTGTCTGACTCCCAAACAGGTATACAGATTCTCAGATCAAGTCTTTATTATACCAGTGATGCATAAAGGCCTTCAACCTCCTTGGATCTGTTCACAGATCTCATAAGAGTTCATCAGGCTGATCCTCTCTTCCCTGCTCCATCCTCAACCCTACTGTGGACAGCCATCTCTCCTTTCTGCAAAATCTCTGTCTCGATTATCACTTAATATTCTTGTTACAGTCAAATTTTCCCAAATCAGTTTATCATTACAGGCAAAGTTTACCAGTCTTCCTAAGACTTCATGAGCATAATTCTGAAAATCTAAGTCTTTCTCCTAGAGAGGATAATGCCCTGTCCCACTGAGAACAGATGCCTACCATCAGCAAGTTCAAATCTGCTGCAGCACAAAGAATACAGCATATGGTATCCAGAAAAATCTTATTAATATGTTCTTTAGAAGTACCAGCACTTAAATATTCCTTATTTACTAATTTTTACAGTAAAAATCACTGATTCATAGAACTGAAACAATTGATCCATTCTGCTATGTCACTAAACTGCTTCTGAAGGCCCAGTACACTTTGTGCACTGACATCACTTTGAATTTGAGAGAAGCATTCTGGCACAAGCCCAGCAGATGTGAGCTCACTGTGCAGAGCACAAACCTGTGAGTTCAGCGAGGATCTCCCGGACAGGCACCCCCCGGGTGTAGGTGAAGCCGTGGGCTCTGTACGCCGTTATCACATGGTCTGTGGGCTTTATGGCAGCCTCAATCCCCACACAGCAAGCCTCCTGTCACACACAACAGGCAAGGTCAGCAAGGAAGAAAAACACACAGCTCCCACAGTGGCCCACTGATGATCCCACACACACCAAATACTGGCAAGTCACAGTGGGAGCACAGATACAGGAGACTGACTTAAATCCCAAGGGTTGGTAACAGGCCTGGAGCTACAACAGCCTTGGGCTCTACATTCCAACCTGATGGACTAGCAAAGGCATGACATGGGAGAGGAACCAGAATCTGCAGATATCTGAAGAATTTCCTCCCCCAGTGAAGTATCTCAACCACCACAATTCAAAAACATCAGGGGATAATGGACAGACAGCAAAGTTTCAGTAAGTCCATGAAGGACTAGCAGAGGGGAGGAGATTGGGTCAATGGATGTTCAGGGGGTTAGGCCTTTGTTTGGGTAGCATGTTGGTGTAAGTCATTGGAGGCCAATGGTGGTGATTAGTAGGCTGTATAATAATGTAATGTCAGTTCATAGGTGTTTGCATGAGGAGAGGAGGGTAAAGGGGAGGAGTATTGCAGTTGGGGGGATAATTTTTAGCATTGTAAGAGGTGGAAGTTGTGTAGGTGGTCAGAGCCGTGGGTTCAGGTGGAGGCTGCTAGTAGGGCCAACCCTGTGCCTGCTTTGCAGATGGAGAATGTTAGCATGAGGATAGGTTCTCCTGGCTGTTGTTTTTCAGTGGGCACATGATCCAGGAGATACAGAAACAAAAGCCATCAATGAAACCTGAGGGGGAAAATACAGGCCTTCAAATGTGCTCATTCCTCACTGATCTTCAGCTGCACTGTGCCCTTCCCTGTCTTTGTGTCTCTCCTCCTCCCTCCTCTCGTCCCTCTCCTTCTCTCACAATGCACATAGATAAACCAGTTCTACATTCTCCACTCTATTAAAATCCCTACATTAAATAAGCTAAGACAAAACCTCCTGGCCCAGAGCTCTTACCTGACCATCATATAAGTGGCAGAAGCCACGAATGATCTTCTGCTTGTAGAGCTGGTCAGACTTGAGCTCCATGCGGCGGATGGTCTGCATGGTCTTGTAGTACTGCAGCCCCTCCTCCCGCGTCATCACCGCCGTGGTGGGCGGGCCTGCCTCCAGGTGGTGCAGGTCACATTGCTGCAGTCAAACAAGTCATCATTCCCTCAAAACCATTCATCCTACTTAGGAATAGTACTTCATTTTTCAATGATCTGCCACTTTCAAATTCAGATTGTAACAGGTCAGGACAACTGTGCACTGTTTCAAAATTCAGGGAAATAAAACCCTTATTTTTAATAAAGACAGATTTCTACTCAGAAAATAAAGCCTCATTATTCCTCGAAGCAGAAGATGAACTCAAGTCCTCCAGAAATATGGCAAAAAGCACATTTCCATGCTTGTTGCACACTAAATACTAGGTAAGAGCTACAGAGGCTTAGTGAAAAGATAAGAAAGATCAAGAGTTTCCTCTGTTAAACAGTTTGTAAGATCTGGCCCTAAGACTGGCCCTCACCTCTGCTACCTCTGTGATAAATAAACAGTAAGTTCACTGGAAGAGACTAAACAAATTACTCTGTCAGTGCAGATTAAATGGCCAAAATACTTTTATATAGGTTAAAGGCAGCTTCTATCAAATCAAAAGTCACTCCAGAGCAAATCCACCGACACCTAGATGAACTGGATATAACACCTGGGCACACTACTCAAGACAACTCTGCTTCAAAGTTCACAGAACAACAGAAACTCTGGAGTCTTGTTATCAACACAAGATCAAATATTAAACCTTGTATCTACTCAAAAAAGAATTTTCATATAAACATATATTCCTTCCCTTCCACCTGAACAATTTTCATGCTTCACAGCACAGCCAAACAGGGAGAGGGTGGAAAACAACACAAATTATTTCTTTCAGATTTTCCTGCATCAACTCCTGAATGAAACACCAGCCCAGAAGCTACTGCCAATACAAACATCACTTTTTCCTAAGACCCAGCCACAGTGGAAAGCTGACAGAATATAACACACATTTTCTGAGCAGCACCAAGTCAAACATTGAAAGGATGCCATATTTTTTCCTCAAAAAGCCACACAGACTTCAACCAGCTGCATCTTAGGGATAGACTGCAAACACCTAATTGTTTGAAAAGCATTAAGGAAACAACAGAACAGAACAGAAAAGGTTCTTTAGTTTCTTTCTAACACTGCTCTCACAGCTGCATTGTAATATAACAGCTGCAAAAAATCACAACTTCACATTCTTAAGAAACAAGTAACATTACCACACACTGCCAACACAATGCTTCCAGCTGCACTTAGTAATCAGGTCAGATAGCGAGGGGTTTGGTTCTGGAAATTCAAACCACATTTTCTAACTGAAAGAGAGATGGGGACCAGTCCATCAGGTTAAGATCTCTAACAAATGCTTACAAAGAATGCCAGTACTAAGTGTTCTTCTTCACCTTAATCTCAAACTTAGCTTCACTTGCGAAGTCTCCGTAGTTACGTGATGCCACCATCACTCGAGAGGCCTTAAAAGAAAGACAAAACCAAAGCATGAGCAAAGTTTAAAGGTAATTATCAAGTAAAAGTATGTGACTTTGCAAGTAATTTCTAAGAGTATTCTTTTCAAGTAATTTCTAAGAGTACTCCCAAACTGAGATAATTTATAAATAAGACACAGCAGTAGTATATACCATAAGACCTGGGAACTTTTATTCTGTATGCCAAAGTCCTTTAAAACCCATTATTTAAAATTAGGTTTAGAAAAAGAGAATTTAAACTGGTAATACTCTTGATTATCTAAAATAAACCCAGTAAATTTCAAAACTTTTGACAATGAAGAGTTTCAAAACCACAAAAATAATTGTTTATCCCTTCACATGCCAGGCTGACAATATAAGGAGAGACAGCCAATGCAGACTTTGCTGACTCTCTGTGCTGACTGGAATTTTGACTAGATAGAACAGAAAAAAAACCCAAAAAACAATCCAGAACCAACCAAACAAAAGGAATCCAGCAGATATCTGAAATATAAACTGCTCTCACTTTTTCTTTTTAATAGGAAGAGAAACTGGGGGAATTCAAAGCCATAACAATGGAGAGAGGGAATCATTTCAGTAACAGCATGGCCACTACTCTAAAAATTATGTGGAAACACAGAAGGTGCCTGAGGATAGAAACACAGAACAATAGAAAGGGTGGCACGGTAGGGGAGAGATGGGAAAGATGTTTAAAAATACATTACTGCTCCCTTTTAAAGAAGGAACACAGGGTATTGACCAGTGAATGGTGGTGATTTTAGATTACTTTAGCAAGTTTCACTGCAGCATCAGGCAGGATGGGCCCATGTCCATGCATGCTCTGTGGCCACAGCATAAGGAACACTACATCTTTTACTGGCAAGACTGTACTGCTGATTAAGTCACACAAAATCTTCAGCAGCTCCTTCAGCCAGGGAATCCTCACACATTTAGCTGAAGGTAGATTCCACCAAAATTTTGAGAATGTTCAGGTCATCATCTCCAAAAAAGTTCTGACTGACACGTGTGAAGCTTGGGAGAAAATTCTCAGCCCATGCTGGTTACCTCCTCTGTTGCATATTGATCAGATTTATGAGTAACACTGTCCCCATTCACCCTGCCCTGATATCAGATTAAATATTTAGAAGTTTTAATTTAAACACAGCTTCTACACTATTTACCACAATACATCAGTATTATCAGTGAAGAAAAGCTATTTTACTTCTAGAGCTGGAGTAAATCCACAGTTTGGATTCACAGTAACACAGAATGGCCAGGGTTGAGAAGATCTCTTCAGCCCACCTGGTTAAACTCCCTGCCCTGAACAGGACATAAAAGCACACTGAGGAGTCTGGACAAAAGCCCTGATTTGTGGGCAGTACACCTATCAAAGGTACACCTAGACCAGACTGACTGAGGCCTTACCTCACTAACGGCTCCCTAGGTTAGCAGCATTTGGAAGGGAAAAAATGAAGAAGAGTAAGTAGCTGTATCAAATAATGAGGGGAGGAGAAGTCAGCAAATTATTATCCAGCCAGAATAGAACACTGCAAGTGGTAGTTTCTATACATGGAAATCCATCTGTACACTCTGGAGAATGCTCAAAGCATATATGAGATACTGCTTTATGGATTAAGTCTACCTCTATTTATTTGGTAATTTATGCCTTCACTACAGAGGCATAGGAACAATTAAAGACAAATATTTACATATTTGGTAAGCAGTTATTGAAATATCTGAACCAGGTTTACTTTGGCATTCCAGGAGAACACAGCATGTGCAGAGCAGGCCAAGTACCTGTGGTAAGGGACAAATTTTAGGCACCCATATTTGCAGAATTTCATCTAGAGATTCTATTTGTGAAGTAGAAAACACTCCTAGATATGCAGCCCAAAGACAGATAACAAGAACTTCCAGTAGATTTTCTGCCCTGTGTTTTTCTGATGGATCCAGTGATCCACAAGCAGTGAATGCCTGGGTGAGAGATCTGCCTCAGAACGGGGAAGCAGCAATATATCTGCTCCCCATGGCAAAAAGGAACCTGATTTCCAGTTACCTAAAAGTACCTTTTAACTCTGGCCTTGCCAACAAGGTTTTTTCAGCAGGGTTAATTTATCCTCATGGCCACAGTCATTACAGTGGAATAAGCAGCATGAAGTGGTAAAAGCAGGATTTTTCACACAGCAAAGATAAAATACAACAAGAGACTCACACTAATAACAAAAAAATAACAAACTTTGAAACAAAATTCATGCAGATGTTGAAAGGGGCTGTTGGCTGAGCCAAGGGAGGTGAAGCAGTTCGGTCACACTCGGGCCGAGCAGACCCCTCTGAGGGACCTGACCTGGGCAGTCCAAGAGTGTAGGAACAAGATCGATCAAAGCCCTGCGCCATTAAGGGCTTAAAAAGCGAGCTCCTA